CGGTTTCCTCTGAAGACCTTCTAAAACTCTCTATTACATCTATAGTTATGTTCAGTTTTGTCCAACTATATTTCTGAATCTTCTACTTTCATTAATCAGACTTACTAGAAGTTTTCCTATTTCATTAATCTCTGCTTTTATCTTTATTTCTTCTTCTGTATTTTCTTTCCATTTACTTTTGTTCCTTTTCTAGCTTTTTGACTGACTTAGCTCACTTAACTTTCAACCTTTGATTTTTTAAAACTACAATTAAAAACGTAAATGTCGGGCCTGCCTGTGACTCACTTGGGAGAGTGCGGTGCTGATAACACCAAGGCCATGGGTTCGGATCCCATATAGGGATGGCCGGTTTGCTCACTAGCTGAGCGGGGTGCTGACAACACCAAGTCAAGGGTTAAGATCCCCTTATCGGTCATCTTAAAAAAAAAAAAGATGGCACTGTATCTACTCATCTTTTTTGTTTCTTAAAAAATAACGCACTTCATGATCTTAGTGTAGTAAACTCCTAAAATTCCTTTAGGTGAAAAAGCACTGTTCCCAGTGAGTCTAAGTGAAGGGTTAAGCATAACTCAAACTGTGCAAGTGGAAAAATCCACAGGTTACCTTTCCTTTTATCCATTCGTTCATTCTTTTTTTATTTTTTTTTTTACCTTCCCCTTCTTGAAGAGCTCTCTGATCCCCAATAGCTTCGGGCACCAGCTTCCCATAGGAGTGTTTCTCACTAGATGCAAACTTCACTGTATCAAAGTAGACAGACCCATTTGAAGTATAGCTGGAAAATAAACAAAGGAATTGGGGAGGAATCCAACAGATCCAAAGACACTTCATGGGACAACAATCGAAAATCAAAATGGGTTATAAAATTATAGTCTGTGATGCACTCAAGCCTCTGCTCTCTCCACTCTCCCATGGCAGCTATTCAAGACCACATCAGCTCTGCGGGCTGAGTGGGGCACGACAAGGATGCCCCCCTCCACAGAGGCGGCTCCTCACTGCCCTGAGTGTCATGTCCTGCGCAGACCCCTGCCTCACATTCTGTGACTACACACTCTGGCCTGCCCTTGTGCTCGGGGAAGACACTGTCATGTGCGGCGTGCCTCCCTACTCTCTGAGTCTACCCTAATGGTACGGCCCAGCTCAGGCCCCGTCAAGGCCCCGAGAGCCTCCAGATCATTCCAGCCCACAACGCCTGTCTTCTCTGACCCTGGGCTTGTCCCTGGCCCTCAGCCTGGCACACGATCTCATGTTGCCCTGCAGTGACTTGGGTCAAGTGGGGACGGACAGGCAGCATTTTCACTTAAGAGCCCACGTGACCCCAGGCACTGTGTGTGGAGCCCTGCATGCCTCATTCCTTGGGACTGAGCAGCTCTTGCCTGACTCATCTCCCTGGCAGGTGTGGAGGGGAGCAACCTGCAGCTGAGCCCGGGCCCCCACAGCTCTGCAGAGTGGCCCTCCACTCTCAAAATGTCTGCATGGTACTGACATCTCTGAAGACCCAGCAGTGTCCACACTCCCTACTGTGCTGCTCTGGGGCCCCATGACCAATGGTCTTAACTGCTGAGCTCTCTAGCAGACTTTGTGTCCTCACTGTGTCCTGAGGGCAGGCCACCAGCCCCATCGAGAGGGCTGGTCAGCCAGACCCTGTTACTCAGCCCTGGGCGGGGCCCAAGCTGTGAGAGGAAGTGTGCAGGAGGCTTCACGGACAGGGCTAAGAGCAGCAGTCACACCCTTGCCCTCTTGCTTCTGCCACGACAGAAAGTGGGTCTGTACGGTTAGCCACCTGTTGCAACGGCAGCTTACACGAAAGGAAAACCCATCACGCTTTATTTACAAAGCAATCCTAAATTACAGCTGCAGCACTGGGAACCAAGGGGCCAAAGCAAGTGCCATGCTGTGCGGGTGAGCACGAAAGGGCTGCCCATCTGGCCGGGGGACCCAGAACATGAGCTCTCCTGCTTTTGTGCCCATCTCAGAGCTGGGAGCTGTTCTCCCAGGAGCAGTGTGAAGCCCTGGGAACTGCCCCCTTCTTACCCGTAACCGTTGTCCACAATCTTCTGGACAAAGTTTATGATTTCTGGCACGTACTCACTAACACGCGTTAAGACATCCGGAGGGAGAACCTGTACATGACACAAGAGGGTCCTGGGATTTTCCTTTCTGTAAATTTCAGCCTCATACAAACATGCTCTATGAAAACAATGTCACCAATTGGTAAAATAAGAAGCCCCTATGCCCCTCAGCTCAAGGTCAATGTTGACTTAGTAACTTAACGGAGCTTGCAAAATGAAGATGGTGTGGACTGCGTGAGGCCTTTCAGTTTCACCAAAACGGGACTCTGGAGATCAGGGCCCTTCGACCAAGAGAGTGAGGACAAGACAGTCTGTGACACTTACATTCAGAGCTTCCATGTCTTTGTGGAATTCCCCTTCCCAGAACCTGGGCAGCTTGGAGAAAATAGAATTGTCTGTCACCTCACTGCCAAGTGTGGAATCCAGCCAGTCAGAAAGCAAATCCTTTGCCTCTTCCAGCAATACCTAAAGAAAAAGGAATAGAACATCCATGCATGGGCCACAGGTGTCCTGTGAGCACATGCAGTGCAGCTGGTGGGAGTCGATCAGTGCCCTGGATTCAAAGACATGACCTGCACAGCCCTGGTCCACAAAGAGTCACCATCTCCCAGGGAGACAGCAATGCTCACATGAGCAGCTCAGCTGAGACAAACATGAGACCCCACAGATGGGAGGTTCTCACATGAACTCAGGGGAGCAGACCCCAAAACATCCACAGGTTCAGAGGCATGGTATATTGGAGGGTCAGGGTGGACTTGGGGAGGATGTGCAACATAGCTGGGCCCCCGTGGGGTGGGATCATAGGCAGAGGTGGGGCAGGAGCACATGCAGTTTGTCACCTAAACCATGGACACTCAGTACATTCTAAAAAGATTCATGACAGGAGACGCCAGCGGTTACAAGAGATGGGCAGTGTTCTGGTCCTGGAGCTCTCAAAGGCCCCATCTCCCTGTCCTCCAGATGCCACTGACTGAAGTCACTGGCCCCATTTCACACACCATCACCAGTCCACCACGGCACAGCATCTGTGTGACCTGTATCCCCTGAGTACATTCACAGTCGGTGTGAGACATGCTCCAACTGCACTCATGTCAGAAAGGAGAAACATCTTTGACATTCCGTGGAGGAATCTAGTGTTTCAGCATGTTATCTTGGAGTAGTGACCAACATGGGGACAAGCAGGCAGTCTGCAGTCTACCATGGGAGTGGGAGGCAAAGAACAAAGGGCGGAGAGAGAAAGTGCAGGAAAACAATCAGGCAGAGAGCAAGGCCACACAGGGTGGACTGAGCACCCACATGCTGACAGAGAAAGGGCCCAGGGCACACTGTAGGCCAGGCTCTTGAGGTACTCCCTGCTAAGAGCTCCCAGAGAAAGCAGACTTGCTAATGTGCTGCTGGGCTTACAGGTGGTACAGTAAACCTGCCAGGATGCTCTTACCCCTTCCCACCATGGCAGACACCTGAGGGGCAGACAAGCAGGAAAGGCAGGTGCATGCAATGGGAAGGTAAAGGCTTTCAGGACTGCTGCCCAGAAAGCAAACACTAGGTCTGCCCCAAGTGCAGGGACAGGAACCCCTAAGGAGGCTGAAATGGCACCACCCACATGGGGCTGGCTCTTTGGGAGGCATCTGTATTCTGGCTGTCAGGACTGCCACAGATCATGACCCTGCAGGAATAGAACTCGTCAAGGTTGCCAAATGCCCACAGACACGAGCAACTGTGAACAGGAGTCGGCAGAGATGACAAACAGACACTTGCTTTAGATACGAGAGTAATCAGATACACAACAAACATACAAAATTTTCACAAGCACTAAATATTTAAAGACAGAATCACAAGATGAGTAAGCCATAAGATGCTACCACAATGGCCCAGGCAGAACGGAAAAGAGAAACAAATGAAACTTTCGGAGATAAAATATGTTAACCAATGAAATAAACAGACTCAATAGGATAGGTAAGACAGCTGAAGAAAGAATTAGTGAACAGGAAGAAAGAACCGACGTCATCCAAAGTGAAACAGAGACAAGAAGGAAGATGGGAAAGAAAAGCTGAGACACTGAGGGGGCCAGGATGAAATCCTGGCTCCCATCTAACTGGAATCCCAGAGGAGACGAGGGAGCGGGCAGAGCACAGGGGATACTTGAAGACACAACAATCCATAGACTCAGGAGGCACAAAAAATATCTGACAGGGCAAGTAAAAATAAATCTCTTATAATGTTTAGTGAAATAGCAGAAAACAAAAAAAAAGAGTATTTTTATAAGGAGCCAGAAAGAAGAGACATATTTAACTTCAAAGGAAAGGCAATTTGAAGGGCAGCCTGCTGTTCTCAACAACCAACAATGGAAGCCAAAA